TGGATCAGGAAGGCAAGGACGTTACCGGGATAAATGTGTGTTGAACACGGAGGTGGCGTACATTCGGTACTCGATCGGTTGGATCGTGAATAAGTTCGAGTACATGAACCGCGTTACTAAACGCTTCCGCTTACGGTCTACAAGGGTACGTAGACACACTCTCCCTTCTCGTTGCTATGCATCTCCCTGGATAGATCTTGCGTGTGCATAGAATTTTTTTTGTTTTCCATGCAACGTTCCCCAACACCTACATTACTAATGTGCAAGCTAAAAATTATTTTCCAGAATTTATATGACTAAACTAGAGCACACTTGTAGTTCAAATTTGAATTACTCGATGTAAATCACTACAAATTGAATAAATCAATGAAATATAGACAAAAACACTCTCAAATTCATGAAAATTTGGCAGTTGGAATTCCATGTGGTCTACTTTAGGTGAAAATTGAAAGGGCAGAAACTATAATCTTATTTCTCGCACTTGCTTCACAAATAAAGTCATCTTGGGCACTAGAAAAAGAAAAAGGAAATTATTGTGGTATTGGCAGTCTATCATTTTTTTCCATAAGCTAGTGCACATAAAAAGCTCCCGTGCAAAAGGATTTCAATTTTTTGAGGCTTTTTCATTTTCTATAATTTGTTTCAGATTGTTGTCAAAATTGCATGGATGACTAATCATATAAAGTTGTTTGTACTTTGGCCTCTTTTGTGGCTACTGCCAACATTCGTAATGTGCAAGCTAAAAATTGTTTTTCAGAGTTTATATGACCAAAACTAGAGCGCACTTGCAGTTCAAATTTGAATTACTTGATGTAAATTGCTAGAAATTCAATAAATCAATGAGATATAGCAAAACACTCTCAAATTCATACAAATTTGACGGCTGGAATCCCATGTGGTCTACTTTAAGTGAAAAATCAAAGGGCACAATTTATAATCTTATTTCTGACACTTGCTTCACAAAAAATTCATCTTAGGCACTAGAAAAGGAAAAATTATATTTTGTGGTATTGCCAGTTTATCAATTTTTTTCACAAGCTAGTGCACATAAAAGGCTCCCATGCAAAAGGATTTCAATTTTGAGGCTCTTTTCTTTTTCCATAATTTTTTTTCAGATTGTTGTCAAAATTGCATGTATGACTATTCATATAAAGTGGTTTGGAATTTGACCTTTCTTTGTGACTACTACCTACATTCCTAATTTGCAAACTGAAATTGCATGGATGACTAATTTTATATGTGCTTCCATAAGAAGAACATATTTGCTCCGCGTGAAATCATAGTTGTTCTTCTCAAAAATATATGTGCTTTCATGAGAATCACATACTTGATTCTCGTAGAAGCACAGATCTGCTTCTGAGTTTCTCGAGAGAAAAAATTGTGCTTCCATGGAAAGCACACATTTGCTTCTGTGAGCTTCTCGGGGAAAAAGTGTTCCCACAAAAAGCACAAATTTGCTTCCGCTAGAACTTATCCGAGAATGGGGGAAACAAGTATGTGCTTCTAAAAAATGAAAAATTACAATCGTACTACCGCTGGGTTTTTTCTTTTGTTTTTGGCATTCGATCTTTTTTTGCGTGAATCAATTGTGTTTTGGTTTTTTGAAACCTATTAATATGAGATTTAGTTTTGAAGACCTTGACACGAGAAATCAAACGCTAGAAAATGGTTCGGTATTTGGATGTGCGATTCAAAAGATAAAATATTTTGGAAAAACAAATTATGAAAAAAAAACACTTAGGTTACGACAAATGACGTCTATGCAATGCCCCATATATCGAACCAGAGAAGGGAAAGTGACATTCGCAAGGTTTTCTAGGCTAACACACGCTTACTCTTTATTGCTCAATAATATTTAAAGGAATACAATTGATAGCAGGTTGCAAAAGCCATAAATGACGGCTTTGAGATAAACTAAGAGCATGTTTAGCGATGTTATGTGCCTCCAAATTCGATGCTCTTCCTTCAAAAAGGAAAGAGCATTATTGGAATTCCTATGCCATAATCTTTATCTCCCGGATGATATGACTATGTTTTTCGCCAGTCCCATCCTTTATGTTTGACACGACACCTTTACAGTCTGATGCAACAATGGTGCTTGTTTGTAACAGCACAAATGACAGGGCCATGACCTCTCGACATGCTAAAGCTTCAACCATAGTGACATTTGCAAGATTTTTTTAGACAAACTCCGAAGTTTTTTATTCAGACGTCACAATGTTTACAGGGACGAAAGAGAGACCGCTCGGCTGTCCCAACCAAACATGTCGGCCAGACGGAAGGGATAATGCATGCTTCGCGAGCTTGTGAGCCTCAATATTCGAGCTCCTAAATTTGTGAGAAATATTACAGACTTGGAAAGCTAATGTATGCTCTATTATTTCATGTATGATCGCACCATACTCTGTTGGATTATTTTCTTGGATATCTTGTACCACCACCTTCGCATCCGAGGCCACTTGGATGTTTGCCATGTTCAAATCATCAGCTAGAGCTAGTGCCTCCCTGATCGACATGCATTCGAGAGTCGCCGGTTCAGATATGCCTCTGAAGACCACTGCCAAGGCTCCCAAGAAGTGACCAGCTGAATCTCTGGAAATCGCAGCTACAGCTCCATGTCTTCTTCCTCTCCGCACTGCAGCATCAACATTAAACTTTGCCAGCCCTCCAGGTGGAGCGATCCGACCTGATCGTCATGGCACAGGTCTTCCAGTTTGCCTTGAATTGATGGATTGCAGTGCGTTGAGTTCATTGACGTATGAGTGTACAAATGCTTGGACTGAAGACGGGCTTTGATAAATATGCTCATATATTGCCTTGCGGCGTGCTCCCCACAATGCCCAAAGAGTGACCACAAAGGTTGTAAAACTCATCATGAGATAGCGCATCTTGCATGAAGAAAAGCCACCTCTTCGGATCCGGTTCCTCGTTTTTTCTCAGCACATCAGTAATATGCTCACAAGACAGCACCCACGTGCTTCGAGAAATTATGCAGTTAAGTAACGCGTGCCTCCAAGTATCTTCGGCTCCACAGAGGCAACACGCGGCCGTGTCCACCATTTTACGGTGATGCAAGAGTGCCGCCGTCGGAGTGGTATGCCTAGCCAATCTCCACAAGAAGACCTTTAGCTTCGATGGTACCCTGATTCCCCAAAGTTTTGTCCAACCCTCCCTATCTGCGTGTGAGTGAGACGACCCCTCTTGCTCATATAACCATGCTTCACGACTTAACTTCATCTGTTGAATCATCCTATAGGCGGTTCTCACCGAGAATATACCCCGCATGTCTTCGCTCCATGCCCAAAAGTCGAATGACATTTGCAAGTGGATCTACAAGGTCGACAGGGTGGGCCGTGGGATTTTTAGACAGGAAATTACAGATGGGCCTGAGAAAGAAAAGCCCAACAAACTCGTCCCGACCCGTCTAGCCCAACAAACAACGCACCCGATTCTCAAGATTGTCTCAAAAAAAAGGACCTGATTCTCAGGGGGGGGGGGGACGCACCTAGGGGACACTGGGACAGACGCACCGAGGCCCTGCGCGTCCCCGACCTCGGCGGCTCGGCTCCCGATCTCGCTGGCTCGCTGCCTGTCTCGCCGGACGCCGTCAGCCATCGCTGTCTGCCTCGTCATCTCTAGACGCCCAGGAGCCGCCCCGCCCGCCCAGCGCTCGGTGCCACCGCGCTTCCCTGGCGCGTCTGCAAGCCGGGCCGGTCGCCCAGTCCGCTCTCCGCCGATTCCGTCACTCGGCCGGCAGTAAGCCTTGATCCCTGTTTGAGGACTTAAGGTAAGTTGTCCACTGTGGCACTGCCCATTCCCCAATTTCTGATTTAGGGTTTGCTCTTTGCTGTCTATTGCATCAATCAGGTGGAAGAGTCAAGTCTATTGTTGCGTTAACTAAACAACCGGACATGCTATCCAGTACATGAACACACAGTCCTGTGAATACATACACATAATTTTTCTATCCACTGCATGAACACCTGATCAGTGACAAAATAATGATTTTTCTGATTGTTTGCCACTCTAACAATGCCACTCTTTACAAATTGACAATGCCACAGAGTCTTTTTTGAACTTCTCAAGGTACGTATTATGTAGGCTTCTCTTATGCAAAATTGAGAATTTAAGTATGTCTGTAAGACCATATTGATCTATTTCTATGTGCTATTGGTAAATTAATTAGAACGTTGGCATGTCATATTTGTTGTCAAAAGGAAAGATGGACCACCCTGCTCGTTAGGGCCCCTTTATTCAAAGTTGTTTGTGTGACAATGTATGAGACTTGACTCTGTGATTAAATTAGTAGGATAGAAAATTTTGATTATTGGCTAGCAGACAGGTTTGATTTTGACCTGCAAAAACTGAGATGCAGAGTTAAATACCATCCATCGAGATTTACTGTCCCAATACAAGAAATGGGTGGAAAGATAATACGAAGAATGAGAATTAGGAGAAGATAATACAGTGATGGTCCTTCTTCTGAATTGTCCTTGTTGAGAGAGACTTGAGACAGTTTGATGGACCAAATGCATATATGAATGTTGTATCGTTGATGTTGGACCTTTCTGGACTTTCTTCTTTTGAATTTGTGAATTGTTGGTCAGTGCATGCCTATATTATCTTGTAGTATATGGTAATGTATTGCTAGTTCTTTAGCAAAGGTCATGCCATATTTTTCTTGCACCGAGCCTTGACCGGCTTGCGAGCTTCAAGAGCTTGGCCGGAGGCTTGGGCCTGGCTTGTTGGATCTTCGAGCCCTGAGCTTTCTGTCCAGCCTTAGTTGTGTTGTAATATTTGGAAATTTCAAACATATTTAGTTAAGTCTAATGTTGTGAGACTTGATTAAGCTATTCATATTGCTCTTCTGGTCAATTTCTTATTACTGTGTGATGTCAGATTCTTTTGTAGGTGGCCCACTCTATTATTTGTTTCTAGCTCAGCCACTGCCTCAGAATAGCTTAGGACCTGAGAAGTCCTTTACTCCATAAGGCAAAACAATGGAGGACTGTGCAGCCACCCCTGTTCGCCGCCCTGCCGACCCCTCCTCCCCATCCCTAACCCCGTCTCCCTTGTCTCTGCGCCAGTGGCGCCCAGCGGCGCAGCGCAATCTGCGCAACCAGTGGTCGCGCCTGCTTGCCGCCAAGACCCGGTGGCTGGACGCCGCCGCCAGCGGCCGCTCCCATGCCGCCACACTCGTCAACGCCTACCTCTCCCGCAGGTTGTCCCCTCTCTTGCTCTGTGTTTCGGCGACACTTGAGTTTTTGAGATTTTAGTAACTAGTAACTGACCGCGCCTTGGGCTTGTCATTTTGTCAGTTACATGCCAGGGATGGATTTGGGGGTGCTCAAGGACATGCCCAGGATCCGCGACAGGGCGAGCGCCAAATTGGCCCACAAGGAGGTAGCTACGCTGTCGCCAGGAACTCGGCCAATCCTCCTCAGCAGTATATGGTTTAATTTTCTTGTTCATCTCCTCATTTTCATGTCCCTTGCTTGGTTCAGGTGCAATGCCGCGAGATGCTTCTATCAGCCTACAAGGAGATGGTAATGCTTCATACAAAGCCCATGCTTGTTCATGTCATTTTAGTTGGGACCCTGTAAGCCATTAATGATTGTTTGACTTTTGGTGCTCTTCCTATTTCCTGGTAATAGGTCTGTGCCATGTCCGACTTGGTTAAAGCTTCTCATGCCATGCGGATCATCCAAAGTATCTGCTGGTAGCCCACTAGTCCGATTTACTGATCGCCAGGATGATTTGAATGATTTAGGGGATGGTGGAGGAGCTCCAGTATACAGATGGGTCTCCATGTTAGAATTTGGTGGGTTACTCGCATTTTTTTATGCAAACTGGATTAAGTTCCATAATCTTTATTTCCCCTTCCCATGTGACTTTACTTGGTTTTAAGAGATTCAGAAATTTTTGTTCTGAAATACGTACTAGGATTCGGATAGACAGATGAACTTTCTTTTCATTTGTGTTTGGCATGACAGAAATGCATGCTTCGAATCGATTTTGTGTAGTTTGGGAAATAGCTCCAACTTAGTCAGAAAGTCAAGTGACTTTTATATAGTTAGTAAATAATTTGCAAGTTATTCAGTGTAGCACTGCCACATTAGATCAACTTTACTGAATAAATATCTAGTTTCTTATATTCAAAGTGATTTGTCCATAATTTCTTTCTAAAATAGCTACTCAAGATCAGATCTTCCTGATCCAGCAAGATACGGCTAACATATTGATTTGTTTTATTCGTGAATTGATCTCAGAAAACCTCGCCAAAGAGCTTGTTGAGATGTTTGTTTCAGAGCTACAATTGAAGGTATGTCATCACACAATTCTGCTATGTTTTAGCTTGTGCACTTAGAAATCGCTTTTTTTTACATACCCGTTTCTCCTGAACTTTTGGAAAATTCCTGACAGTGGAAATCACTTTGAATGTAGAGACTGATTGTCTTGGACTTCCTGTCAATTAACTTAAAAGAAGGTGCAGGTCCTTCATTAGAATGGTCAGATGAGCTATATGACGGGGAATTGTACGAATTTCAGAGTATTGCCTTGGGGTCTGGAGACAGCTTCCCACTACCTGAGAATTGGAAGGCTGATGTCTTTCAGGGACGGCGACCTGGACATGCTCCATCCCATGAGGTTTTACAGGTGTTGATCCAATTTTTGCAATAGTGTTGCATGTATTCCCTTAGAAATCAACTGTCTCTGTCCTGATGTTTAGATCTTTAATTGTTTGTTTGGTAGACTCGTTGTAAATAAAGGATGAGAGCGGCATCTTTGGTTTAGATCAAATGTGTTATGCTCATTGCAGCATGCTTTCTAACGAGGGTTCTGTCTTTTCAATTATTATTTTACAGGTTTATTTAACCTGTTGGCTTGCTAATGTGAACATCAAGACGAGTAGGTAATTGCTCCATCTGCTTTAGCTTTGGATTTTACAAACTATTCCCTCCGTTCCGAATTACTTGTCGTAGGTATGGATGTATCTAAATGTATTTTAGTTCTTGATACATCCGTTTCTCCGACAAGTAATTTGAAACGGAGGGAGTATAAGGATACCTGAATTTCGAAATTAAGCTGTATCATATGGCTTTGGTGATAATGTGATAGTATTGATCTCTTGATTTTATTTTCAGAGTTGACGAAATATTTGAGCTTGTTGGGGAAGAGATGCAGATCAAACTGCGTTGAAGATTTTGATGCATAGAATTTAAGTGGGAACCATTCGGGAATGTTCAGGTTATTTTTTTCCTTAACGGAAGTGATTTAGGCTAATTAGCCTGTGTGATATGCCCTGAGAAAGAGGGCTCATCTAATCTTTCTCAAATGCATTACTGTTAGCTTGAATACAGTTGCCCAGGCCCACCAATTTGTGTAACAAGGCTGAGCCATGAGCCCACCAGTTCCTGGAAATCCAGAATGCCTTGCCTCTGTTTGACGTTCCAGATAGTAGTACGTAGCTATCGCTAATCCACCTGATCACTTGGGAGATTTGGCGCGAACGAAACAGAAGACTGTTCCAGCAGGAAACATTGGGCCTTCACCCCTTTTAGTCGACTCGTTAGAGATGGGATCAAGCTGTGGAACCTGGCGGGAGCTGAAATCCCTTTCGACCCGGGTTGAGTTCCTGTTTGTGTTTTAGCAGGAGTTGTTCTTTCTTTTCCCTTATTTCCTTTTGAGCCTCTCCCTTGGTTTGGCTCCGACCCTCTCTCTGGGTCTTCCCTGTACTTTGTGTTTCCCTCCTGATCAATGAATTTGGTAGTCCACTACCAACATTCAAAAAAGGAAAAAGAAAGATAGTGCTAGAACGTAGCTGAGAGCAGCCTGACACTAGACTCTTCAAGTGCCAATTTCAGAATCTGCTCATGGCTAGTTTATTTTCAGACACAGCCGGACAGTCGAAATATGTGAGAGAGAAATCAAGTCACCACTATTCTCCGAGTTCTTAATATGTCTGCACACCTCCATGTTCTTGTTAAAGGTATACATGGCATCTCTCCGCCCTTGTTTTGGGTGGTGCTGCCTTGCTCGTTTCCAGCATTCGTCTTGCCATCACCAACTTTGCTCTAGGCCACAGAGTGCAAGCTAGTACAGTACAAAAGATGCCACGAAGGAGCAATTCATCAGTGCTCGCCCAGGGGTTAATGCTAGCACAGCACAGCACAGGAGGAGCCCAACTTATGAGTCAGGAGGATTGTCATGATTGGCTGCAAGGAACAGCATAGCACAGGACCCCCAAAGCTCTTTTAAAACTTGGCCATGCTGCCATGGACAAGCGAGACAATCCAGGTGCCTGTCTGCTGCATGCCCTGCCTGTTCCATTCCACTCCATTTAAAGGGATAGAAAAAGGAAATGAACGTTCACATGATCACATCCCTGTTCCCGGGACACTGGTCAAACCATGTGGCTCCTGCAGTGCCTCCCTGAATTAAAACCACAGGACCTTTTGGCTCCTGCTTGTGACAGAGTACTGGTTTCCTCCGTTTCTTTTCTCCTGGGATCACATGACCGCCCACGTCAGGCAAATGGACAGACAGCCGTGGCACGGCGTCCAGTCCAGTCCGGCAGGGGGGGACACATTATTCTGTTCCGTGGGCGTGGGGAGAATGATGCCATGCCGGACGCGGCGGCCAGCAGCCGCAGCTGCAGCGTGCGATCCGTGTCACGAGCGAGCTGGTCAATCCAGTCGGGCCGCGTGAGTACTAATCAATCAATGCCCTGTGACTGTGAGGAAGAAAGAGAATGTCGTTGGTTCCTTTGTCTCCACTTGGGGATCTGTCCGGCTCCTCTCCTGGCCCTTTCCGATGTTCTTTTCGAGGACGACCAAGTTGTCATACTTGCTTATAAATATACTAGTCCACTCGATCGATATCGCATCAGGTCCAGCCACGAGTGCACCAGCACTTCTCTGCCTGGCAGTGTCGTACTGTCGTTGTCCAGGTGCCATGTCTGTCC